ATGCGTTATATAATTGTCAAGAAGGAGAAAAAGATTCAATTATATTATAATTTTATTTATTTATTTATTATTATTTTTTTGTTGTTGAAGATAAGCAGGGTGTATACTTAAAGTTTGGCATTCACCTTGCACACTTAAAATTAAAAAGGAGGGATAAATTTTAAACTTTTTCTTAAAGTATCAAATTTTTCATACTCCATTCTTACTTCATTTCATACTCCATCAAATTTTTCATACTATAGGTTACAAAGAACTTTTCAAATTCTGATCAGGTCTAAAAAAGTTTAAAGAATATGTATCAATTTACTTAATTTTTTCCCTTTTCTTAGTTCCAATCCTACACTATGATGGGCAGGGATAAAGAACAATTCAAGGCAATAAACAAAATCACAATATAGCAGCTGAAATAATTTAAGAATATTTCTTAATAAAAGTTATCCCTTATGAAATGTTTTTTTAATTAAATGTTTTTTTCATATTCTCTACTTAATAATACAACTAAACACAGTGATGCAACAGCCCATGAAGGGCCAAAGCCTATTGTGCCTATCCCAGTTTTCTTGACCTTGAGGGCAGGAGCAGATGTTCTGGTTGGGTGTTAAGCCAAACGCAGAACCCCTGGAGCATGCTTATTACTACTTAATAATAATCACACTTACAGTTAACAATTCTTTTAATCCCTCTTATGGTATTTTCTGCATTCTACATAAATATGAAGAAATTAAAATTGTGTGTTGATATGATTTATTTATTGGACCCACGTGCTGAAGTAAATTTTTAGAACCTATTGATGGTATAGCAAGTAGTTTGAGTTTTTCTATCCATAGGATTAAAATTATCATTTATTATTATAATAAGTTATATAAACTAATTTGGTCGTAAGTAACCAAATTTATCCTGGACATGTTAGAGATTTGTAGTAAGAACTTAAAGAGGAGTATTGTTAAATTCTTCACTTTTATTGAGTATAAATTTCAGATTCGTCACCTAATTTTTTTTAAACATGTTTTCTATGCTAATGAGATACTGTTTAGTGTTTGGCATGTAATTTACTTTTAGGTATTGCTTTTTATGAAGTAAAAAAACAGTTTTAAAGTAAACTGCATCTGCATTAAAAAACTAAATATTTTTAGAACGTGTATATTAGTATTGTAGATGTTCTTTTTTTTAAAAAAAAAATTCTACAAAATCTTAAATTTAATCAAACTAGAATCGTAGAAAATTTTATTTATAACTTTTGCTAATGAAAAATAATATTTTATTTAATACTTAAGTAATATCAAATATTCTTTATTAATGTGATAGGTACTACATTTACCTAGTAGTAGAAATGTGGTCCATAAGTAGGGAACAACATAGATAAGCGAAGCAGCAACAGATGTAAGAAGGGCGGAAAAACAAACTTTATTCTTTTAACTACCCCAATATTGTTATAATGAAAATGTTATTATCCAGGGACCGATCAAGACAAGTATGGGCCATTGGCTCACAAATTTTCTGGGTTTATTACTAAACAGTTTTAATTGGCTCACAAATTTTCAGGGTTTATACTAAACAGTTTTAATTGGCTCACAAATTTTCAGGGTTTATTACTAAACAGTTGTAATTGGCTCACAAATTTTCAGGGTTTATTACTAAACAGTTCTAATTAGCTCACAAATTTTCAGGGTTTATACTAAACAGTTTTAAATTAACCTGTTGCTACTACATTCTTAATCCTTTGACACAGATGGGACACCAGTGCCCCTTTTATATGCTCTTATTACGAGCAAAATTTATTTTGGTATTTTTTAATTATAAGAAACAGTCTTAATAGTTAATCTATTAGATAATCAGAATAATATTTGTAAAATATAAAATCCAAAATAAGAAGTTTGAAAAAAAATTTTTTTCCCACTCATATTCACAAATTTATCAACAATTAAATTTGTAAATTAAATAAATTTTAATGATGAATAACTGTTTCTGTTAAATCTAAATTACTGCAAATTTGAAAAATTATTGTTCCAAAGGGTGTGTTTGGAAGCTGTGTTTGGAAAATTTTGCCTTTAAGGCAGGAAAAGACACTGGTGTTTCATACTGTATTTCCTAATCATAAATTATTAAGATGTTAAATATAATATTTTTCACTTATTTTGACCCTAAATGAATACTATATAATGAAAAATGTTTTGAAAAAAACCGCTTTCTGACCTGCATGTTTTTTTACAGCATTTTCTTCTATCCAATAATTTTTAGCAAATTACATTTTAAATATTCTTTCCTTGAAGTGAAAACAAATATACAAGTACTGTATGGCAACAGCAATTAATTTTAATTTTTTGAAGTTTAATATTTGTCTGAAAGTTTTATATTTTTCCTTGAAAATTGTTAACATTTTCGTTCTAGTGTGATGGAGAGTTTCATCAAGAAGTTTTCAGGAAAATTTTGAAATGGATTTTGTCTTCTGGGAATTAAAATATTTTCAAGAAGCCTAACTTCTTTATATCTTCTTCAAATTAAAAGGAAAACTGATTGTACAGAACATGTATATAAAATTTGTTTTTACTTTAACACTTATCTTGTATTTATTATTTATAGACTTATTTTTTATTTTTAAAAAGGATTCTTAATTATTTAAAAATACGATGTTAATTTTTATTTTGTATGAATTAAAAAAAAAAAAAACGTAATCTTTAGCCTTTTTATAGCGGAGTACCAGTCAACATTTGTTAATTTTACCCCGGCCCACTGAAGGGGGGGGGGGTGTTGATTGTTTATATTTAGGTTGTTTTGATTTAATAATTTAATTAATTAATTAAATGCCTTCAAAATAAATACTTTATACTCAAAATAAATACTTGACTTTAATATTAGTATTTCTGATTATAATGATAAAATCTAATTAATAATTCGAATAATCTTTTTTAAATGAGAAGACTAAATAAACATTTGATTTTATTGTAACACTTCCTGAATGAAACTTGTTACTTAACTTTTTACGATACAAAACTATCTGATAAATGAATGTATTTAGAGCTTTAAAAAAAGAAGGGGAAAAAATGAAGTAAACATTGTATTTTTTCTCTAGGAAACGGGATTTTGGCATTTTTTGCTCTAATAAATTTCACTGAGAAATGTGCCAGTTTTTAGCCTTTGATGTTGATACATTTTGGGTATTTGATTTTAATGAATGCCTCTTCAAGAACAAGTTTTTAAAAAATAATTCTCGATTTCATTAACTTTTAAAATATTTGCACTTAATATATAAAAAAGAAAATTTAATACAAACATTGGAAAATTAATAAGGTAATTATAAAATTGTTACTTTATTTTTCATATCTGACTTGCCATGCATGATTAAGTCAAAGTTTATAGGAAGAAAATATTCGTTTATTTTTATTTAAAGCACTTGTTATGTTTTTTTTATAAAATCTATACTGGATTCAAAATTTTCGGTGACATTAATGTTTTAAAGTTATTAAAAATCATGATTTAAATTATTTAAATATTCTGTAAATAATTTAAAGGATAAGAGGGTGAAAAAAAAAAAGAAGAAACAAGAGAACGTTCCCTTCTCTTTCGTTTCTGTCTTGTGAATAATTTTAAGAAATAAATTTAAAACAGGTTTGGCCATGGCGGAAATTTATTTTTCTTTCATCTTCCTAAAAAACTATATACTGGTTTACCAGTTTTAATGTAGATAGGTCGCTTATAGCATCGATTCGGATCTAAATTAATGTGAAAAATGTATGTATTTGTTTTTCGATTTTATTAAAGGCATATGTATTATCTACATACATATGTTGAAAAAAACGTAAAGAATATGCATAAAAAAACCAAATGTTACTGGCAATATTGAATTAGCAGGGAATTAAATAATAAATTTCAAGAATTTTTTTCATTTTAAATTTTTATTAAGAAACTGATTTTCGTATCTGATGAATTATATCGATTTGACACAAACGTTCCGCATTTTTCTTCCAAAAAACAATATTTTTTGTAATTTTGAGATAAAATTTTAAAAAATTATTTCCTTCATTTTTTTACTTCAGATTTTTGTAATTTTATTTATGTGTCGTGTAAAGAGCTTATTATATCGTTTCCAAAATTAAATTGTTTATCCGGATAAAAGTTTTTGAAGTTTTGTAAGATTTTTCTTGAAATAATGCAATACAGAATTACAAACGTTTTGTTCGGGAAATAGTGTTTTCTGACTCGTTAGCAGTAGTCAAATTTTTTTTGCTGGGCATAAAACAAAAATCATGCCTTTTTGCATTAAGAAATGTAGTTTATGAATGGGTTATGAATATGTAGAATATGTTTATCCAAGCTGATATTGAATCGGAATAAGAATTTCTGATCTGACGGAATTTAACTAAAAATTTAATAATTGCTACCGCTTGTGTTTGAATTGGCATTCCCTACCCAGCACACCCAACCCAAAAGACTATGCTACTTTTCCTCAGATTTTTTATCTGTAAAAGCTACAATTTGTTTGAACGCAATTTGTGATATAGAATTAGGGTGAATTTCTTTCCTTATTCTTAAACTATTGTGCAGATCTCAGAGGTGAAGAAATGCTGAAGTCAATGAACCAATCTAATTATCGAATTAGTAAACAAAAGCTCCGACTGTTATTACACGCTTTTTCAGTCGCATTATAAACGGTTGAAAGAACTGCTGTAAACGATGTACCAGAAAATCGCCGTAACTTATATTTCAAGGTGGTAAAAAAAAAACTAAACCCACCTGTTCCTGTCCTTGCAGAAAGTCAGGGCTTTCTTACTAGTTTGGAACGCTGTTAGTAGCGAGGCGTTTCAACTAAATTTGTAGTTGATTCTCCAGTTTCCTACACAAAAAGAACCTTGGTTTTTCTGACACTCGAAGCAAGGTCAAGTAGCTTTTTGCCGCGGTGTAGAAAAGTTTGATCTTCCACAGTTTCCTTTGTCTTTTTTTTTGTCATTGTTTACTTTTTGATTGGATAAGAGACTTCGTTGTAACTGTTGCCAACTGCATCTGCCAAATTTTTATGGATATTACATCACATTACGTTAAATCACCTGCTTTAAAAAGTGGTTTTTCACGATTAAAAAAAAGCAGATTTTTCATGATTCACTTTGGTGGCGCATTACTCGGACTATTTGTAAACAACCTATCGATTATTAATCATCCAAACCCCTTTCCACAAATAGCTGATTTCACCTTCGCACTGTTTAAAATTTATATTCAGTATAAATGTTCTTTGAAGAAGCTACAGTCGTACTCTGGCTTATTACTCTCCAAGAGTTTCGGATCTAGTTCTGCCTTGGCCAAGCGTGGCTGAGTGCTGGTAAAATATTCTTGCAATTTGAAAGTCGAAGGGTAAAGTTTTTATTTTGATTAATTTAAAAAAAATATTTATTCCTGTCTGAAAATTTCATTTAATGATAATATACAGATTGTTAGTTGCATTGTAAATTCACATTAAAAATTGCAATTAAACTAGCTTTTTTTTATTATTTTTTTAAAAGGATATCTTTGATTTTTTAAATGATTTTGCTCTTACTTATAAAACTATCAAAATGCTTCATTCTAGTTATAGTAATTATGTACTAGCATGTGCTTACTTGTTCACACGTGTATTTTGTAAAAAATTAAAGTTTAATTTTGCATATGATCTTCATTTGTCAAAACAAATCTATAGAATTTATTTCGAGAATTAAGGTTAACACATTGAAACAAAATTTTTTACTACTTCGTTTATTTATTATTTTTATTTTTGTGGTTTTAACATCAAAGACTGAATGTGGCTTATGATAGAATAAAGCTACATTTTGTATACAATTTGCAGTAAAAGAAATCTAGCTAGCGTAATAATTTTTGTTCTAATAAAATTTCCGTACTCCATGTTGCAATTTTAGCTGTTCCAAAAAACGCGCATTACGATTAAGTACGATAATTATTGCTGATGATTAATTCAGATATAACTCGGATGGCAAAGAAGCACTTTCTCTGAATAAGCTTACGATAGCACTTTTGCCTCGACGAAATTAAGGTTTTGGCTCTAAAAATATGGGGGTTACCATTTTCTGAAAACTCTGATCAATGCCCTAGCCAGGAATACTCTCGAAAGCTATAGCTTTTGATGTTATTTTTGTATCTTGCGTTTTTATCTCAATTCTTGTAATTTTTTTCTTGAATTGATTAATTTTTTCATGCATATAACTCGTTTGCTTTAAGATAATTTTCATGCAAGAAATTAATGTTAATAAAATTATAAATTTTTTTATGAATTTTAAGGTTATTATAAGTTGACAATTTTTACATCACGTAAAGGATGTAATTTTAAAATATTTATACTTAAAATCAGTTGGTCGGTTGATTCCAAAGAAAAATAAAACGATTCAAGGAAATCTTATTTTAAATAAAAAGTTGCATTGCTCAATAGTAGCACACATGATCTGCAAAAGGATCTTTAAAATAAATGCAGGTAAGACGATTTGCAATGTTCTGAGAAGAAAACTGGCATAAACTTAAGGGTTCATAAAGGTACGTGCTTATGAAAGAAGTGGTTAATGACGAAGTATTTCGAAATATTTTTAAACAATCGCCAATATTATAATAAGTAGACATACTGAAACACTTTCCAATTTTCGCATTTAAATAGGACTCCATTTTTTTTTCACAAGTGAATATTTTTCCGAAAATGCACGCAACGACGAAATAGTTGAGTGCGCTTCATTTTGAAATCATAACGCCGCAAATAATTTCCTCGGGTTGTTTCCAGCGAATAACAGAATTCTTATCTTCTAAGGAAGTCTTGATGTTATCGCTGGACTTCACATCAGTGAAGTTCAAATCACGCTTGCTAATTTTTATGTGAATTGCATACACAAATGCTGGTTCTTTTTTCTAATGCATTTAATTTTTAAAATGTTCCTCGTCTAGTTTCTTTCACCACTAGTTTCAATACAATGTTTACCCGAGGGATATGCGTGCAAGTTTTTGTTGCACGAAATCGGTTTATATTAATTTAATAAAAGTAATATCTTACATTTATTATTATTTACTTCGTACTTACATTATCTGCAATGAATATATAACAGTGTAGAATGGAATGCATGCAGTGACGTAGTGTGGGTTTATCGATCCTGATTGGTTGTTGAAACGTGGTATTAGTTTACGTTAGTCAACTGCTCTTTCCATTCTATTTCGTAAGCCGTACCCGTGAAGAATCAATTCTCTTAAGTGACTCATTCTATATTCTTTCACAAAGATTTCAATTCTTTCACTATATTTTACTTACTTAACACAAAGACAGGCTGAAGTCATGTAGAACTTAAACCAACTAATTATGTATCGAAGATGCCAGGTACACAAAGCAAAAATATATCACGGTTACAATAAAAGGCATACACACAAATAATAAATCTAAGTTAAGGAAAAGATGTAGACGAGAAAAAATTATATTTGAACAAATGTGCTTTACGGCTCTGTATTGAATTAACCTCCCGTTAATTAGCATTCTAACTTCTGTAGAGAAACTTAGCTCAACTTTAACACTTCATTTTACTTATAAGCGATCAGTTGGCGCTGACGTCATTGGTCACGTGTGTAGGTATTTGTGATCTTCTTGAGTGCAAGTACCCAATTACAATTTTAAACCTGTTACGAACTAGTGCTGCAAAATAAATAAAACAAAAAGAAGCTTGGTATGTTTTAATTACTACGTTTTTACCAACTCGCTTTCGTATCTAGTCCGGTGGAATATTGCAATCAAAATTTTGACGATTTTCCAACTAGTTCAAATCATAGCATTTAAATTTTAACTACTTGATGTGATGAAAATGCAAGCTGATTGCTGCTAGCAGAATTTATCGTTGTTTTATTTCCAATTAGAGTTGTGGAGAAATTCATTCTTATTAATTGGAGTTCTTAAATTTAATCTGGATGTCTTTGCCTGATGACGGAGCAAGTTTCAAACATTTTCTGGTGACTAGTCGAAGAATTAATACTATCAATGAGAATTAGTCAGTTGCAATTTCGATCAATTTTCGACTATCTAGAATGCTAAATTTCAACTGGAACTAATTGCCTGATGTTACCTTGTTTCCTAAATGGTGCAAGCAAAAATTATCGCTATTATATCGCTAATCGAGGTTATGACAATTTTCCTTTCCTGCTTAAATAAATTCTCAGAAAAGAATAAAATAAATATTTTGAAAAAATATTTTTTTAACGATTGACTGAAAGTAAGAAAATGATTTCATTTTCTTGAAACCTAATTTCCTAGGTCGCGCATCAGAATTTTTTTCTATCGCAATTACTTCGATCCTATTGAACATACATTTATCGCTACCGATGATTCTGCCACGTCTTTCAAAATAGATGTGCCTTACCTTTTTTTCTTATAGGTCTGAGTCTGAAAATATAGAAATTTTCTCCTTTTTAGTCACCATAAAAAAGGTAGTTTGTAAATTTTTATTATTTATTTTTCTAACAAATAAATCTCTCTTTAAACCAAAATGGTTTTGTAAATAAAAAAAATTAAAGTTAAAAAAAAAAACGACTAGGTGCTTTAAGGGGGTGGGGGTAACTGTAGGGTAAAGAAATGGGCCTCATTTTCTAAATATTTTTCTTTCTTCTTTTTCTTCTTCATAAAACTAATATCACAGAATATTTGCAGTCTATAAATTTTTGTATTAGATGTATAATATTTGAGAGTGATGAAATTAAAATTTTAACGTTCAAATATTATATGAATGATACATAAAAGAAGTATGAATGTTGAGAAATATGTCTAATCTACATTTTATCATAAGAGAGTATTAAGCTTGACTTCTCAACGAGGAATCTATTACATAGAATTAGATTTAAATATTTTTAAATTTAAATCCAAATCACAAATTGAGTCAAATGCTTATCTGTAAATATTATGAAATATAGTGAAACCTCCTGGAAAGACCACCCGTATTCCTCAACCACTTCTATTTACGACCACTTTTGGAGAGGTACGGAATTTTTTCCATAAACTTTGTGTTGAAGAATACCTTCGAAAGAGACCATTAAAACCACTCTCAGTGACCAGGCAAACCTCTGTACCAAATGCGGAAAAGGTTAAACCAGGAAACACGGATCAATATCAAAACAAAAACATTAACAAAGCAAATTAGTAGATTAAAATGTATTTAAAATCTGTGTGTGAGGCTTTTATTTAGAGAGCTCTGTTGTCCATAAGAGATCTGTTATCTCATGTTGCACTAAAGACGATGCTATCAATGATTTATTTTTAGAGTTGAAAGTTAAATTAGAAACAAAAAACATAATTGTTTAGCTATTTAAAATAATCATATCGTTCATAATTGGTAAATTTGTTTTGTACATAATTATATCATTTTTATTGACTCTAAATTTTATTCATTTATACGGTTTTCATGATGTAAGCACAGGTGGCTTTTCCGCACAAAATAAATAAATAAAATGACACTGAGTAAAATTATAAGCGACAAATCATGTACCTTTGATAGCATTTTGAAGTCTATGAAGGTAACCTCTAAGAACGACAATCGACTAATAATATTCAATTATTATTTTCTGCTTAGTTCTCATACGATTATTAACTCTCATCTAATGCATTTTTTAAGTTAGTAAAAAGAAGAAAAAGTCTTTTTAGTGTAAATTTTTTTTTCTCTATCAGGAATAAAGTGAAAGTCAGCTATCTCTCAACAGTTATTAAAACAACAAAAACGTCAAACGTAAAGTGACCTCATTTTAGTACCTTATTGCGGCCTCGGCAGCTGGAATAAACGTATGGGGCCAGCTTAGTTTATTATTATTATATCAATCTGGGTCCCGCAAGGACTCGAAATTTTATGTCCTTTTGATACCTTATGAAGGTCGTGTTTGTTCTAAACTAGCATGAAATCTAAATGAAGTATGGGAATGACGTTTTTTCGTTTTGTCTTTCACGTACTCTGTAGATAACTTCAATAATTAAATGGTTTGACTTCGCTATATATATAAAAAACTGGAATAAGCAATGAAGCATATGCCAGAGTATTAGGAGTTATATTATTATGTTATTGGTATGAACATATTGAAATTTTAGTGTGATGATAATTTTTTTAGAATAAATTTATCGAGGAGAAAGTTGGTTAAAGAAACTCTAATTCGATAGAGTCGCGCAATAAGCGGTTCTCGAACCCATTTTATTAATTTATTTGTTTTATTCTCCACACATTGTAAAATATTTAAAAGTATTAAAATGCTTTCTATTGTATATGTAAACTAAGAATAAATTTTAATCCCAATTTTTTTGAATTTGTTTTATTCACAATTGATCAAGTAGCGTTAAATAATTTTAATATTGTAATTGCATTTTT